TTATTATTTTCATTTGATTTGAATATCCCGTTCACTTGAAACACGATTTAAATATCACATATTAGCCAATACAGGCACTGACTGTTGAGATACTATTATGAGATAAGTATTTAAAATATTTGGTTACCTATCTATTTAATAGACGTTTGCAGTGCACACATACTAAATGAGTGTTCATGTTATCTAATCAACGAAAAAATTAATATAAATTGATTGCGAGTCCAGAATGAGGTTCACATAAATTAGTCTATCGTTTGCCCATAAATCGGAAATTCATAACAAAATTGATTCTCATTTTACAGACGGAAAAGTAAACCTTTATCTCTTTTCTGAAATATTCTTTTTAATGCCAATCTATATTCTGTCATTAATGTAAACGTAGCTTTAGAACAAAAACTAATAATAATTATGGCCACGACATCTCCTCCGTGTGGCATTCAATAGATCTGTGTAACGATTTATTAGATAAGTTTTTTGGAGGTCTAAACCAATTATAAAAAATCGCATAAAATATATGCTATGATAGGGCTGTTCACACACATCGAGATTGTATTTTGGATGAAATCCGATATTATTATTATTATTATTAGCAGAAAATAGTAATTTTTATTTTTCATGAATTAGCTATTAATTCAAATAACCGTTTAATCATTTTATTGATAATCTGTTTTTGATGTGTAAACCCGTATATTAAATGTAATTTTTTAGCTCGGCATAAATTTTAAAAACTTTTTATTTTCTATTTATGTCTAATTTATAGCCGTATTATAAATGTTATTGTTTTGAATGTTTTATTACTTATTACATTCATTTATTTTTGTGTAAATCTCTCTCTCTCTCTCTCTCTCTCTCTTCACTCTATAATTTCTGTTTAAGTAATACATTAAAACATTAAACATTGATATTTATTATATAAGAATTAAAAATAAATATACATTTCATAAGAATTATGTGAAATATAACTATAAATGAAATGTCTTTTAATAAAGAAAATTGTCTGAAAGGACTATTAAATGAATATAAATGTAGTATTGAATGACTTATTAAATAAATGTGATGTTTTATAGAAATAAGTACAAGATTAATGTATTTCCTTTATGTTTGACTGGAAACTTTTATTAACACAAAATATTTTAATGGATTCACGGAATAAAAGCAAAAATATATTAAATAATAAAAGCACTTTTAAACACAAAAATTTCATTACAAATTATCTGTGAAATTCTTATATAAAACACAAACTAATAATAATATGTCCTCTAAATTCATCAAATTAAACTGTTCATGTGTTTTATTTTTTAATTTCAAACTTTTGGCAAACTATGATATACACACAAATGTATTGATCGGCACAAATTGGGCTAAATCACTTGTTTAATAAAACAAAGCAGTTCTTTAATTAAGAGCATAAAACATAAATTTAGGAATAAATTATTGTATATTTATCTAACCTTCGTCTAAAAAGAGTGGCTGTTAAACGGGATAAATAAATAACAAAACTTTTTCTTTTTATATTCAAATTTCAATTTAATATTTGTGTTTAAGGAAATCAAAAAGCCATTTAGTTTGGAAATCTGAAATTTTTTCGTAGTCTCTCTCTCTCTCTCTCTCTCTCTCTCTCTCTCTCTCTCTCGTGAAAGACACAGTTATCTACACCAGTGAAACAAATCGTAAATTTAATACCTGAGATGAGCTGCAAATGTATAAAAATGCGATAAAAACACAACTCTTTTTTATATCCAATAAAATGATTAAGTCTTGGCCTTCATTTGAATATTCGCATCAATACTAACTACAAAAAACAGTTATCTTTTTGTTTCATCACAAATGAAACACATTTTAAATTAGAAGGAATACAACAAAACAAATAGTAATACAAAAATGCATTTAAAGTATAATAAACAATAAAGTTCTCAAACTTTTAAATACCTGTCTATCATATAAATGGCAATAGGAATAAGTGCACGGGTTATACAGTACACTAAATTGTAATACCGGCCATACAAATGCAGATTTAGTTTTTTTATTCAAATTTATTATATGAAATAAACGTGAGTGAGTGAATAAATGTGTGTGTGTGTGTGTGAGAGAGAGAGAGAGAGAGAGAGAGAGAGAGAGACTTGAAATTACATAAATTGGAAATTTTAAATCTAAATCATTAATAAATCATATCAAAAACATTTATAGTAGTATTTGTTTAATAACACTGAAACCATAAATAATTTATGCAAAAATAATTTAGACATAAATCAAGATAACACAACAAAAGTACCCAATTTATACAAAAGCAATACCATATCATATAATACTTATGGAGAGATATAATCTTTTTCTCTTTCTATTTGTTTCTCCAATTAAACAAAATAAACATTGATTTAGATATTATATGCAAAATAGATAACTATTTCTCAGTCATTAGTCCCCTCGTTATTAAAACATTTATAAATCAATGTTTCAAATCTTAGGCAAAACGAGGGATCAAATAATCAAAATTCCAGACCATTATTATTATTACATAATAAACCTATTAATCGGTTTACAGTATATTTTGTACGTTTGAAAGGTTTAAAAAACTTTAATTTATTGGAAAATATTTTCTTTGCCGTCAATTTTGTTTTGAAGGCCAATATAAGACACAATTTCTTACTTATAGTCAACTCATAGACAGTTTGAGAAAACCTTATTTTAAATACCTTTGATATTATAGTCAAAAGTAGATTTAATTGGTTTTAATAATCAGGTATTCAGTCATGAATTGAATGAATAATATGTTCTCGTATTTGATAAATAATAACCATTTGAATCAATTAACGAGTGTTTTGTACACAAAATAAAAGGCAATATATTTATCGAAAGGCTTATTATTAGTTTTTATCCGTTTTCGTAATATATCGGTGGGAACTGAACGCTGTTTTGCATTTCAAACTCATTTCTTACATATTATTTTCAGTCGAGTCTCACAAATAGCTCATTAAAGAAAAGAGTTTTTTGTTGCAAAATTGTCTTCACTTTAAGTTTTTTGAAGTTTTTTAGAGATAATAAACAAATTAAAGCCAAAAGGAAGTAATGATTACTGACATCACAAATGCAATTCACAATTGAATTTTAAAACAATAACTCTTTTTGTGCTTTTTTGCTGTCAATTTGAAAGCTATTATACCAGACACTTACGTCTACCGACCATTATTTATGAATTGTATATTCAAATTGGTTTTATTTTATTTTTTAAAATTTTATTTACTTTTAAAAATGCATTTTTAATGATTGATTTCCAAATGATGTTTGAATTTATAATTTTCTTGTTTGTTTCGCTATCTATCTGTACATCAATTAAAGTTTTATGAATATTTCAAAAGTTACAGGAAATTACATATTTCTTAACACTTGCGTTGAAAACTTAATTATAATTTATTGTTATAGAGAGACACCAAATGTAATACTGTTTAACATATTTTCACAATTAAGTGGAAACAAGTGAGTATTTATTATTAAAATTAATAAATTAAAGTTTAATAAAACATGTAATAATCGATTTATGAAAATTTATGAAATAACATTATTTAATAAAATTGTATAATAATTACTAAAACCAAAGTCTGTACAATTCAATTGGTATATAATTTAAAAACTAATTTATTTTACAATAATTTTAGTCTTATTTGCATATAACATTATATGCAGAATATGTTTATTCATTGATTAAATATAACAAAAATCCTGTATTTTTGGCAATCATTCAAAACTTTTGCTTTTGAAGATCATTGAAAAGTATGCAACACATGGAAAGTAAATATTAAATGAACTAAAAAAAACAACTAAAATATTTTCATCCAATTACTGAAAGCATAATAAAAATGCGATTAAAATAAAATAATTTAAATCCAAAATTAATATTCAAAATAAGCGCTCATTTCCAGCGAAACCATTGATTTGAACGTAATTTTTATGGGGAAACAAAATCATGTTTTGATTGAAAAGTTTTGAAGTTTTTCAAAGTCTGAATGATTATTAATTTTATAATCAATTATAATTTGTATGTATTTAACAAATTAAGTGTTTTATTGCCATATATTATAAGATTAGATGCAATCAAATGAAGCCAAAAGTGATTTTTGTCGTCGATTTGAATTTTCTAGTCATGAAAATGACACCAATTTCTCGATTATTATAAATGAGGTCTGAATTGATTGATTAAAATCATATAAAATGTTATTTCATTTGATGTCTACATATATCTCATAGAAATACTCGACGTCCTATGGATACCACGTGTGGCCGTCAGCACCAGTTTTGGCACAATTTGTGTTTTATTTTCGGTAATAATTATCATATTTTTGTGTAAATAATATTTACTAAACATATTACTCGTACGACAAAAATTTCATTGAAAAACATACAGTATTACGAAAACATAATTGTAATCAAATAGTGTAGCATTTGGTGTGAAATAAACATATAATTTGTAGTAATTCTTCAGAAGTTATGCTTTGGTTATGACATGTGTTGTATATTAAAACAAATTTCATGAAAACATAACAATTTTGCAAATTATAAATAATTGAAATTCTTATGCATTTGAGTCTCAATACGAAAGTCTCGAAAAAACAAGTTTTGAGCCAAAGATGAAAGTGTTGGATGTCTTGTCGTGAGAAGACAGTTGTTTTGAGTCTTTTTATAACTGTTTCAGTATTTAAAGTATTAGTCAATGTTTGGATATATTGTGAATATTCTTGTATTCCTTACTCTTATAGCATTCACTCAACTCATGAGCTCTCGATTCTTAACGCAAAATATTATTTTATAAACGTTTAATTGCTTTCAATTCAGAGCATTCATACAAAAATAATAAACTAATAAACAAAACTAATACAGTATAATTTAAGCATTTATTAAATATAAAGTTAAAAATAAATAGCTTCTGAGAATTGTATGTTTTTCCACACTTTCTTAATGTCTATAATTAAGTCAAACGAGTTTTGAAGTCGACTCATATATTTTGAATGATAATTAGCAAAGAATTTCAAGATAAGAATATTGTGGAACTGGGTTCGGGCACCGGTATGGTTGGCATTGTTGCGGCCAAAGTGGGCGCTCACGTACTACTGACCGATTCGCACGAATACCCCCAATGTCTTGAACTTTGTCGACAAAACGTTGACATAAATGGAGTGAAAGACAATATCACCGGAATCTGGCCGTTAAGTTGGGGTCACTTCGACCAACAAGTGATTGAAATGCCATCATTTGATTACATCCTAAGTTCGGACTGTTTTTATGACGAAAAGGACTTCGAAGACATTTTAAGTACCGTTTCATTCCTCATCGATAAACACGACAATAAAGAAACCATTTTTTATACCACATATCAGGAAAGGAATAGCGATTGGAGTATAGAATGCCTTCTGAGGAAATGGAGCCTCAAATGTGATTACATTTGTTTGGATGACTTCGAGGGCAACACAAGTTGTGTGACTGGAAGTGATTTATCTGCCAGACATACCATTCATTTGCTCAAAATCACTAAACAGCGAGACATCGTCTGATAGGCAACTGTCTCAACAATTATTTCTCATATTTATTAATATATTTTGTCAAAAAGTATGGCTTTTATGGCTATAGATTGTGTCAATTATTTATTACAATATTATATAATAACAAACACGCGTTAATATTAATATTAGAGCCATTCATAGGTAAGGCACTTGTATTCACTACAACTATAATAAATTTATGCAAATATTTCATATTTGATAATTAATGGCCGTAAATGTGGACAATAATAAGAAATATTCAAAATACCAATTACAATATTGTAATGTAATGTCATGTCATGTAAATTATATTACTTTTATCATTTTTGGTACCAAATACGGCCACAAAGCATTGTAACTTAAATTAAGATCTCATTAAATGAATGTTTTGTTACAATAGTTGTCGACTTAAATATTGATCAGGAACATTATTCAATAAATCATTGGCGCGTTCAATGGCACTAATGTTTGCATTCATATATGATTTATGTTCACAATAAGCGTTATATTACCGTAATATTAACTACATTTCAATTTCGATATTAATAACAATTTTCGAGAGTCTAATGTCTGGATGTGAGATATATTTAAAGTCAATGTGTGTCTCGTCTACAAAAGCATTGCACTATTAATTATTTTCAATTTGAGTTTAAAACCGGGAATTTTTTGATCTATTTTTCTACTAAAATACAATCGAAATGAACTAAAAGTGCCATTAATTTCACTTTTCAACAAATGTGTCAAAGAATTGTAGAAAATAAGAGATCATGTGATAAGTTATAATCAGAGCACAAATCTTAAGAATATTCTTCTCATTATAATGGATTAGAATTGTTATTAAAATCTACAGAAATATATTTAGGAATAAGGAGTCTATTTGAGTGATAATTGCATAAAACCTATGCTCTGAATATAATACAATATATTGTGAACTGTAGTCAACTATGAAATCAATAACAAATAGGAACCCATTGGCCGGTCAGGTCATCTTTGCGGTAATAACGTGGTCTGTTGTCTGGAAATATGGTGACCCCTGGGAAGGGATGCTGTTGTATGAACTTGAGGGTAGCCTTGGCGTCGTCTACAAAGCCTGGCGGTTCCACCTCTGGAGATGTGGACAAATGCTGACAAAAGCATTGAATATATAAATTAGTATACAGTAAACAAGAGAATCTCAAGAATAAGTCAAGAATCGGGATTCAAGAATAAGTCACACCTGAAGTATAAACTCATCGCTTTGCGAGAGCCAGAGGTCGACCCCTCTCATAGGCCTGTAATTGAATGGTCCGATTCGTAATAAACTCATATTTGTGTCGTAAATGTCGAGCATTTCGTGACAACCGGTGTTAGTATAAACTCATCGCTTTGCGAGAGCCAGAGGTCGACCCCTCTCATAGGCCTGTAATTGAATGGTCCGATTCGTAATAAACTCATATTTGTGTCGTAAATGTCGAGCATTTCGTGACAACCGGTGTATAATCGGGCACTCCTGAGGGGAATGTCTGGTCCCTTGTCTGTGAAGGTGGCCGGAAAGAACTGTCCCGTCTTCACGTTGACGCCAATGCCGTAAATGACGGGCCAATTAGTGGTTCCCCTCAAAGAGTTATTCAGTTTACAGACACAAGCGGTCATCAAATCTATATTTACTGATTGCCTGTGATATGCGTCTGAAATGATATAATTAAATGACATTTAATTTACGGCTAATGACACCAAATCTATTGATTACATAAGAGCTGAAGAACCAAGTCTTCAGAATAACGCCGGGAATCGTTGAACCCTCCGATCAGATGGAGTTCGAGGTGTCCGTCCGTCAGACCCAGACCTATGTTCACCTCTTCTATCTTCTTAATCATGGTTTCGATATATTTGTCTAATTTCTGCAGATCTGAACCATCGAAATGAGCCAAACAGACCACTCCAGAGGCCGAGTGCCTCAACACTCCTGTACAACAAGTGGTCGTGTCTTCGGTTCCCACTATACTTATATTCTCTGTATTTGCAAACAAATGGTTAACAATGGGATCAATGGATGTGGTGGTGAGGACTGACTGTCATGTGGTGTGACGATGGCGTACTCCCTCTGACAGACGTACAGAAGTGCCACCGAAGAGATCACTTTCGGCGCCTCAGACACCAGCGATGCGCTCGACTCCTATCACAACAACACATCCAATGGTTACAGACATTGCTTTCATCCACTCTATTGTCGATACAATTCCAGTGATCCTTACCTTAAAGTGCGGGTAATTGTCAAACAAAGAGTTGGTATCATTTGGCACTTCATCGATGACTAAACCATTGATAATTAACGGCATTTTCAATAGTCTTTTAGTTATCAAACACTTGGTTTGCAATCAAAACATTGCATTCAATGCATTGAAAACACGGCTTACAGTACAGTGTATTAAACTCTTCACTCATTTATATAACAGTCAATATCTTAACAGTGAATGTCATTTAAAACTATTTATATTAAAATCAAAATAATTAGTTATTTACTGTATATTGTTTTGTTTGTGACAAATGTATGCATAATATGCGAGAGGGATGGGAGGAACGGGAGGGACGGGAGGGCTGGGCTCTCATCAGTATTGCACAGACACTCACATGAAGACAACACAAGTGCCGTTCAATACATGCATTACTTTGAAGGCTAACTTCTATTCAATTGCCTCTCAATCTTAACTTAAGACAAAACTTTTTTAATTATTATTTAAAAGCTATAAAAAGATATAATTTTGTATAAATTTGTTAATATTTCTATAGAAGGTATGATAGTCTTAGAGATTTACACTCCAATAGCCGTACAATAAGTTTCTCATAACATCTCAACATCTCGTCTATTGAGGAGTTAATTGTAAAACAAGTTTTTTGTGTGAAATATGTGTATTGAATGGAAATGATATGAACTCCCACTTCAACTATAATCTATTGAATTGTTTGAAAGTCATGTCAAACACAATAAATTATTTTTTGGTTGGGATTGGCTTTGTTTGTCTCAATAATTCTCTTTCAAAACAATTATAATTATTTTTATGGACTAGTATTCACTTAATTGGCGGTCATTTACAGAGTAATTAGCATTAAATTATTATATAATCTATAAGTTTCATTAATTTATAAACTCCATCTAAACAAACACAACAAAATAGATTAAAAATTATTGTAATATTTTATAAAGATTACCAATTGACCTGGATGGAATAGCACAAAATTGGCATTTCAGTTATTAAAACTTATTGTCTAAGTTGTTAAAATTAATGAATAAAATATAACGAGGTATTATGACTTAATGTGATATATTGTATATTGTATTTCTGGTACAATACATGTAATAATTTAATGTAAGAGCTAATTAATCTTGGTTATCTTATTATTTCTAATTAATAATTGAATTATTATGCAACATAAGGTTTTATTCATGAACTCTAACTGATTGTAACAAATACATTATACATTATATACATTATATATAGACACTAATGTCTTGAATATAAATGACAAGAATTTTACAATTTTATTTAATTATAATAAAAGTAAATCCAGAATTACTAAAATGTGCATGCTACATAATAAAGTATAACACAAATGGTAGAAAGAGCAATAGTGGACGTACTAGTTGACCGGCCCATAGCCCAGTTGGTTGATCGCACACTTTTCACATCCCTTTCCGATCACTTGTGTCTCTCAATTGGCATCCAATCCCTTGTAAGTCCTCTTAATTACATGATTTACACCATTAATACCACTCATCACTCACTGGCCATACATTAACGGCTCGTATGACTAATGGTCTAACCGTTGAGTACACGAGAAATGTATGGTTTGGTGTTTCATGAGCGGTGAATGCAGTGATGCAGTGATTGCTGAACACGTGTTGTCTTTGGTTTGGTCTTTAGGTTGACTTAATTGTTGCAAATCATAGTTAACGACGAGATGTCGGGAGGTCTGAGTGTATTGTCTCTGAAGCAGGAGGACGTGGCAAAGTTCCTGTCATGTCATACCCACATCGGCTCCAATAACATGGACTACCAGATGGAACAGTATGTCTTCAAACGCCGCTCCGATGGTATGATTGTCGATGCGTTCAGTGACCGGTCGGTGCCTTAAACTGAAGGTCTGTTTGCCACAAACAGGTGTTTATATCATAAATCTGCGCAAAACGTGGGAAAAGCTGTTGTTGGCCGCCAGAGCCATCGTCGCCGTCGAGAACCCGGCGGACGTCTGTGTCATCTCTAACCGACAGTACGGACAGAGAGCTGTCCTGAAGTTTGCGTCGGCGACCGGCACCACACCCATCGCCGGCCGATACACGCCCGGGACGTTCACCAATCAGATTCAGGCGGCTTTCCGCGAGCCCAGGCTTCTGGTGATAACGGACCCGCGCGTCGACCACCAGCCCATCACAGAGGCCTCGTATGTGAATATTCCGGTCATCGCCTTCTGTAACACGGATTCGCCGCTCCGTTACGTGGATATTGCCATTCCCTGCAATAATAAGGCGCCCCACTCTATTGGACTCATGTGGTGGCTGTTGGCCCGGGAGGTGCTTCG